TAGAGGCGAAATTTCAGTGGAGAGCCATAGAGTGTTTGAAAGAATATACACCCTACTCTCCATCCTCCCTGGAGACTGGCTGAACTCAAGCAGAAACCAGAGGATGAGGAAGGCAGTTGATGTGTTCCTTTAGGTCAGCCTCCTGATCAGGGTGGAGAAGGACGTGCAGGGGTTCTGGAGAGGCACATCGAAAAAATCTGGTACACCAGCCAAACCACCCATCAGCTCTCAGTACAAGAGTTCTCCTTCCATGTACCACGAGCTCCAGCAAAATGAGTTCACACGAGAAAATGCATAGGATCCAACAAGGGACTCTAAGAAGCAAGTGAAGGCAGCCTCCAGATGACAGCTGTGGCTCACGGCTACCATCCAGAGGGAGGACAGAAGGCAGGGAGGGCTCCAAGCAGAAAAAAGAAACAGACAAATTTTCTTGTGTGGAAGCATTTGGAAAAATTGATAGGCATTTGCCCCGCTGGTGTGGCTCAGCTGGTCGAGTGTTGTCCCGCGCACTGAAAGGTTGCCAGTTCTTGGTCAGGGCACATGCTCAGGCTTTGGGTTCAATCCCTGGTCAGAGTGGCGCCAGGGTGCATGCGGGAAGCAGCCTATCAATGTGTGTCTCTCACACAGATGTTTCTCTCTCTCTCTCCTTCTCCCTTCCTCTCTCTAAAAATCAATAAAAACATCTTTTTTTTTTTTTAATTGCTAGGCATTTGACTAATCTATTAGGGTATGTGGGGGAAAATAGCAATGAATACATTGAAAACTAAGAAAATGAGAAAACATAATCATTATTTAATCCAAGCAAAACAAAAGTTGTAGAAAGAGTAATCTTGAAGACACCCCAAAAAGCCGTTCAAAGATCCAAAAAATAACCCTTTGGAAAGAACCATTTGACTACCTGCTCTCCTCTTGGTACTCAGAGCCAGGCAGTATTGCTGAGAAGCAATAACATGTGAAAGAATAGCAACCTATTTACCAACAGCACGCACAAGTGTACAAAGATAATCGATCAAAGAGAGTGTAGTCAGCTTTGTGTGGGCAGTCACCTAAGCTCACATCGTTTCTGTCTCCTCCCTCCCTTCCCCAACACCAGGGGTAGGGGGCGGCAGTGCCAGACAGGACACCTGTCCTGCACCCTGCTTCCCTCAAGCCACAAGTTTAGCCTGTGCTGGAAGCAAATATGAGATTGAATTTTTTAAATGAACAGAAAAGGCACTTTCAACAACCATGCAACTGAAATATTACGGAAATAGCGTATCATCAAGGAAGCTTTCTAACCAGAGGAAAAAAGAGAGATTTGACAAAGAGAGGTAGCAGTTTTTGAAAAACAACCAAAAAAATGGTTGTTAGACTATTCCATTTGAGAGTCCTTTATCAGACCAGTTGTTAGAACTATCAGATGATGGTAAACGCTGTGCAGAGAATCCAGAGAGGTGATGTGATGGTAAATATGTTGTCACTTTAGGACGGATGACTAGAAAAAGCCTCTGTGACAGCCAACATTGAAGCTCAGTTCAGAATGGAACCAGCCAGAGGACATGGGGAGAGAAGGGAGGTGGGTAATCTTCCCAGGAGGAAGCTACAGCTAGTGAGGAGGCCTGAGCTTGGTTTATGTTTGAGGAACAAAAATAAGCCCAGCATGGCTCAGGTGTCATGGGCTAAGAGAATACGACAAAATGAGATCAGACAGGTACTCAGGGCCCAGATCTGAGAGCTGACCCGGATGGCAGAGGGAGTGACGTGTACCCTCTCCGGTTGCAGCCAGGCAAATATGCATGTTGCTTATGGGCAGACACGGACGCTGCCTGGAGAAGCAAGGTAATGATAACAAAAAGTTGACTATGAGAAGCCAAGAACTGGGATGGGCAGTTGCAAAGCCATTAGCCAGAGGAGGTATGGCCCCAGTCAAGGGATCTACAGCCCAAGTCCCCAGTGGGGCAATAGGGGCAATAGGCAAGGAACTCATAGAAATAACTCCATGGGGAAAGAGCTGGCATTTGACATTGACCACACCTGAGTCCACTCACGCCAGGTTGTCTTTTTTTTTCATCCTTACCTGAGTACATTTTTGCATTTATCTTCAGATAGAGGGAGAAGGAGCAGGGGCTGGGGACAAACTGCAACCAAGGTAGTGCCCTTAGCGGGAACCGAACCCGGAACTCTCTGGTTCGCCGGCTGATGCTCTAACCTCTGAACCAAACCAGCCAGGGCTCCAGGTTAAGTCTTTTTCTGCTCCCTTATGTGGTGCCTCCTTGGATCCCACTACTGGAGCACGGCAGGGCAATCAAGGACAGAAACACCCTGTTCCATAGGGTGGGTTTCCCAGCCTACTGCATATGAGAAGGTGAAGTGGGGGGAAAGGAGGGTAGAGGGAGGGAGCTTTAAAGAAAATAAGATAGTGAAGTTCTGACATTAGACTAGATTGGAATTCTTATTGCCTGGAAAAAAATGAACATAATTCCATAACTCTTGAGAGACCAAAAAAACTATAAGGCCCAAGAATTCCTCCAGACACAGGGAAAGAGATAACCAAAAATATCACAGTGGATTTCTTGGGGTGGTAGAATTTTTCTTCCCTTTGCTTATTTGTTTTTCCCAATTCTTCTCTAGTGAACTGATAAAAAGTTTTGCCCTGGCCAGTTTGGCTCAGCGGTTAAGAGTGTTGACCTGCGGTCCAGAGACCCGGGTTCGGTTCCTGCTAAGGGCGCGTACCTCGGTTGCAGTTTGTCCCTGGCCCTGGTTGGGTTGTGTGGGTGGCAACCACTCGATGTGTCCCTTTCATGTCGATGTTTCTCTCTCTCTCTCTCTCTCTCCCCGACTCTAGATGAACAAAATATCAAAAAGTGTCCTCGGGTGAGGGAAAAAAAAAAGTTTTGTGGATTTTTAATTTTTTTGGTACATGCCCCTAGCAGGAACCGAACCCAGGCCTACTCTGGTCCACAGGCCGACACTCCAACCGCTGAGCCAAACCAGCCAGGTCAATGTTGTGGATTTTTTAAAGAATGTACTACTACATTTAGTGCAACAGATTTCATGGTTTAATGGCATTTCGGATTGTTTTTGGAGCTTGATTTTGGCAGGCAATAGCAGCATGGGAAAGAGGTGTTTCTGCTGGTAGGGGATGAGCCCAGGGCATGTTTCTCAAGTAGGCTGGGGTTAGTGTAAATGAAGGGAGCAGTGCCAGATGAAACCAGAGGCAGCACGAGACTAGGCACTTTTGTATGCACATTAACTGACATTCCCTACGTAATAACTTCAGTAATAGAGGGTTTGTGGGAATGAGACATGTAGTTACCCAGAAAGAGCTGACCCACCAGGCCTCAGAGAGACGGGACTCTGAAGACTGGCCCCGGATGAAAGGAGGCACCAGGAATCTAGCAGGCAGGAGTGTCTCTCCAGTGTGGGGCTGCAGGACTCAGCTGTCGCTGCTTGCCTGCTTCGCCTGCACTGCTTCCGCTGGCATCATCCTGCCCTCTGCTCTGTGGGGTGCACGTCGCCTATTCTCCACCTCCTGGCATTCTCCCAAGTTCAGCTCCCACTGCTAACTGCCTCATTCAAGAGGATGAGATCATTTCCCCAATGCCAGCAATTGAAGGTACTTTATAGTTATAGACTAGCCCAGCTCATTTTTTTGGTACCAGGCAGGCAACATCATACAGGCTGGCTGCCCTTGGGTTTAACAGGCAGGGGCTGGAAGCAAGAGATCATGTATGTATTAGGGGTGGGAGGGGATTGAAAACAGGAAGGTAGATCCATTTGGAACAAATAACAGCTGCCTAAAGACTTGCCCCTTCATCAGGGAGCAACGGCTGAGGCACTTCTAGCTAACAAAGAGCTGTGGCCTATTTGGGTCTGGCTTCTGCATTACAGGAAGGAACTGGCCAAAATATGGAGGACCTAACATTCCAGGGTTAGAGAATCTATACTTAATTGTGCAGATAATAGAGACTGTCTCCCTCCCCCGCCCCCACACACACAGTCTCGCTCTGCTTTGTCTGGGCACTACAAGGTGGCTTTTGGATACAACCTAGGCATTCTGCTTTTTCTTTCCATCACTGGAAAAGAGGGCTACCTCAGTAGGGAGCTTTCATGTAGCCTAGGAGCAGATTTCCAGCAAAGGATGAGAACTCTGAAAACTCCTGATGCTTGGCAATAAGATCTAAATCTAATTGGCTCCCCAACATAGCTAAAAATATACTGTACAAGGATACCATAGCCACTCAGGGTGTGCCCTCATGCATGAGGGTGGGCCCAGGCTGTAAGATGAGTGGTTACAAATGCTTTCCATTTTGAAAAGTGAAAAGGGCAAAAAGACAAGGAAGATGAAAAAACTTAGGCACTGCTCAAGTAGCTAAATGGCCAACTTTGAGAAATAAGGAAGACATGTTTCCCTCTGGACAAATCTAGTGAGTGTCTTAAAGATAGGAAGGCATAGCCCTGGCCACTTTGGCTCAGCGGTTAGAGCGTCGGCCTGCGGTCCAGAGAGACCCGGGATCGGTTCCCGCTAAGGGCACGTCGTACCTGGGTTGCGGTTTGTCCCTGGTCCTGGTTGGGTTGTGCGGGTGGCAGCCACCCAATGTGTCCCTTTCACGTCAATGTTTCTCTCTCTCTCTCCCCCTCCCACTCTATCTGAACAAAAAATGGAAAAATGTCCTCAGGTAAGGATAAAAAAAAAAAAAGGAAGGCATAAACTACTTTCACAACCATAAATATACTGTGACTACTACCACACATTCAATCATTCAATCACAAGACGTATGTGGCAAAAACTATGTAAGTATTGGTGAGTTTTATTCACTCAACAGATACCTATGAAACACATATCATGTAGAACAGACTATCATAAAGGCAGGATGGGTCTTCCTTGAATGTTTAATACACAGTGATAAACTATACTCAATAAAAGAACCTTTATTTTTATTTCTTAGGATGTATAGAGTGTCTCTAACATCTAGTTTTCTCTTTGAAAACAAAAGTTCATCATTTGAAATACAGTCCTCAGTTGCTACAAATGAGTAATTTTAGCATCAGACCAGGTTTTAGAAAATTTTATAATCTCATCGTATTTTCTCTCCCTATCCTGCATTGCCAAGTGATTCCCATTTATTTTGCCTCTTCGTTTCTCAGGATAAAGTAAACTGCTGCATCTGTGTGGCTCACACAAATGCCACAGTTGCGCCAAAGGGGAGAGGCGGCGAGTAAAAAATGAAAAGCTGGAAGTCCTTTCATGTTAACATTTTATTTAAACCAGTACAAGCACCATGCTTAACAGAAGACTGTCCAAAATAAACATGCAATATGAACTAGCAGAGACTGAAACCACAGCTTGAGAAGTTGTGTCAGTTGTTGATTTTGTTAAACGATGACAGGAACTGTTAAAATTCACAAGACTAAACCATTTCTGTTTCGAGCCTCCTGAATGAATTGGACCATCTAAATCAGCGGGCACTGCCCTGGCATGTTAGTGATACCAAACAATATTCAAGTAATTATATGTATATGCATTATATTCCAAAAAGCAAGAAAACACAGTTTCTATCATAATCTTAATGTAGTTGTTTTAAATATTACAGGAACATGATTACTGATTTGAAATGTCAAATGGCATAACAGGAAACAAATTTCTCAAGAATATTCAACTTGGGACCACTGGTTTTAAGTGGCCCAGATGATTTACATTCTTCCAGAAGTATAAAATAAGATTTGTCCAGAAATGTGTGAGACATGTCTTCACATACATTTTAAAGGCTCAAATTCTGAAGATTCCAGTATCATCAGTCTATTGAACAAATAGGGAAAGCAACTGTACTAAGAATATTTGAATTGATAAAATACGAGTTACTCTCTGCTTCCATGAAATATCACCATTTAAACTCTTATGAAAATATCTATTCATCACTAGTCCATATTATGGAGTAATGACATTGCTCAGGTTTTAAAGCAGTCCCAACATTTTTGAAGTACACCTTCACTACTATCTACGTGTGGGGAATAAAGACAGCCACGTTTATTTTGGCAACAAACTCCTCTGACTGGACATTTTTAGTTAAAGTGTCAGATCAGAATATAACTAACTTATGGCTACATTTGACTCCTGAAAATAGGAGATAAAAAGAGAGAAAAGTGCTGACAGATATGATGCTACAAAGATTATTTCATAATGATAAAAAATTTAGCAACACCCTCTTAAACAAGAGTATGTTTAACTGCACTAGGCATTTAGTAAACTTTTTAGAAATAGACAATTTGAACACTTATTTCAGAAGTCAATTAAACAAAAACAGTCAGTCAACTAACTTTTTTTCCTAATATAATTGCTTCAATACTAGAACAAACTGTTTTGATCACCATTCAAAACTCTGACATTTTGGAATTTCAGCACGGTAACCTGAGGACAGTTTTCATGTCATTTACATTGTCACAAAAGCCATACTAAAAATGTGCTGTGATTACTAGCTGGTACTATTTTGACAGCATTAGATTGCTATGCAGAACTTATGCAAGGCCAACAATTTGAAAACTAATGCTGATTTAGAAGACCATGAAGGAGGTTCCCAGGAAAAACTGCTGCCAAAATGGAAAGATTAAGATTTAAGGCTGAATGGGAATGGCTATACCAGAGTTATGGAATGTAAAAACTGGGGTTATGAAATCTGGAGTTACTATTTTAGAGAAGGCAGAAAAAGAGATCAAATAAGAAATGTACTTGTAAAGAACAGTACAAAATTTGGTTAATGGAAGGGAAATTTACATAAATGTCTGAGAGAACTCTAGAACATGGGATTTGTAAATCTCCCTATAAAAAAGAATAAAAAAATGTTTACTGATCCCCTAACCTCAATCTATTGCCATGTAAAATACATGTTATCGATAAGAAGCAGACAACCTAAAAACAAACATGGTTTATCACAGTTCTTTGCCTGTTAGAGAACAGGGGAACTAAGAGTTCTGTGTATGGAAGTCAATATTATTTGACAGTATGGAGGACTTTCAAAACTAAAATGAGCAAGACAAAATAAGGAACCTCATTAAAAAATACATTCTTGCAGCATTAGTTTCTCTTATTGCTGTGAACCAGGTGAAACAAATCTAATTTCCTTCATTTAAAACATTAAGAACACTCTTGGATTACATTAAATTCACTTGGATTACATTTGCATTTCTGCAGAACTATAAGGGTTATTCTCCAATACCAAAATAGCTGTTTAAAGAATTCTTAAAATTCCTGGGTGATGTTTTCTCTCTCTGGAAATTGTAATAAAAAATCTTTCCCATTAATTAACCAAAACAAATACCTACTCTAGTACTTCCTCATCTCCAAGTAATTTCCTATTGCTTCCTGTTTCTAGATTAGTGATGCCAAACAATGTTGAGAAGATGCTCTTCTCAATATTGTGAAAACTCCAACTATTTTTACCTCTTTGTTAAAGTTGGCACAAGAATCTAAAAAAAAAAAAAAGACAAAGACCATATAAATGAAAAATATGCCAATACAAAAAAAAAAAAAAAATGCCTTTGCTAGTTTTAAAATGACTAAGATATTCTTGATATAAGAATTCACTCACCAAATGTGGTTAGTCCTTAGAGTCTCAAGATCTTTTTTCTAATTAATGTCAAACAGTCACTTACTTGTTTGCTTTTAAAGTACACTATATATTAGAATTCTTGCTTTATGCCAAGGGTGCCATCATCTAGCAAGGCAGGTGTCCGATTTAGAATATTTTCTGAAATTCAGGGTATAAAATGATGAAATTTCTATCAATGTGTTAATATCATTAACTATGGCCAAGGTTTTAAGGTAAGTAATTTTTTTCCAATGGCACAAAACTAATCACAAATATGCCCAAAATTATAACTCTCAACTGCCACACATTTACCAATGCAAGCATTTGGAATTTTAAAAATATGAAGTTGATTTTATTACAAATTATAGATGCACACATTAGAAAGTTGTTTTACTTGGACCCTTTACAAAAGTATTAATTTTGCCAAATCTGGAATATTGGCAGTGTAAAAGTCTTAAACTAACTTTAAAGCTAATAAATCAAAGGCACAGTATTAACAACTTTAAAATAACTAGTTTTCACAGGACATTAAGAGGTGCTTTGTAAATAAGGTATTATTAACCTAGATTCAAAACTCTCTAGAAATGACATAACCAAGAATAAAGCCCTTGATTAGTTACAACCCATCAATTCCTAAGATGCTATTTTCCATAAGAATAGTTATAATTATAAAATCTAACTCCCAGACCTTAAGAATGAGCGACTGATGAACCAAGTTTCTGGACTTGATCAAAAAAATATAGGAAACCAAAGAAGGGATAGAATTGATGAAAAATGTACTTGTAATGCAGGTTACACTATAGTAAATTATTATTCATGGCTCAAAATTGGGTCACTCAAGTCTCTTACCCCAAATTAATTTCAAATTTTTGACAAGTGATAATATGCTGTTTTTATATATAAACTGCTAATATCCAGTATTTGTCAAAAGGAGGCAACTGTTGTCTATCACAATACCCACTTTCCGATGGTGTCTGCAAATAGTAACAAATTCTTAACCATAAGTTATAGAAATTAGTCACAAGAGTGCAAAAAGTCCCTGGAGAGTAGTCCAACTAACTATTACAAATATAAGGAAACATTTTACAAAGTTTCATTACTATGAAGATGATTTCCTATTTGTTCAAACTTTGAACAAATGAAGATTTTCTTTACTCAGGAAACAAACTGTAAGTAACAGTGCATTTTTAGGCATAAATAAGTATTTATGTCTGGTTCCAGTATGGTCAGGTTAATACATAAATACTTTAGAAACAGAGAACTTCACATTAGTGGAAAAATCCAAGTTTCTCACGTAACCATTCTTCAGTTAGGTCTTCAGTATTTCTTATTTCAAATACCTTAAGGAAAAAAACTTAGGTTATACTCTGATACTCTCAAAAAAATATCAAACACATTATGTATCTGAGTATTAAACACCAAATTCTCATTCCTTTCATATTGACCATGATTTAATCTGTGTAAATTAGATATACTGTTGGGAGGTACTTTTTAAAAACAGTAAGTACTCGGTTACCAAAGTATACCAATTAAGATGGCATAAAACCAAAACTCTCTTATAAGTGAGCAATGCTATAAATCTCACCCATTAAAAGAGACAACTCAAGTACATCAATCAGTTAGGAGCTAAAAGAACATATGCTGGTCCCCCATAACTGGAGGAAAGAGCTGTAGACTATGTTGATAACGATGGACTGGAGGTCCACAGCCACAAATCTCCAACAAGAATCTACAAATACACAGGCCCAGAAAGTACAAAGGCTATAGAGAGAAAATGTAATACAGCAGAAAGAATGGGATTTGAAGCCAGATGTGAGTTTGAATCCTAGTTCTGTCATTTATTATTACATAACCCTGGACAAGTCATTCATCCTTTGAACCTCAGTTTTCCCATCTACAAAATAGGAATACCATACCACCATCAACCTCACAAGGCTGTGGTGAGGGTTCAATGGGATTATTTGTAAAATAACAGAACTAGTTCTTAACCACTCAAGGCCCTACAGCAACTCCAGGGAATTCCTATGGTACAAATGAGGAAAAGTAGTGTCTATATGTTGGTGTATCAATAACAATCACAAAATTACCATAAGACAATGGGGCATTTGAGATCTTGCTCTCTGCATATGTGGTCAAATAAACTCATAAAAATTTTAAAAAGAAAACTTATATTGCCTGGCCAGGGTGGCTCACTGGTTGAGGGTCGACCCGTGCACCAAGAAGTCACTGGTTCAATTCCCAGTCAGGGTACATGCCTGGATTGTGGGTCCAATCCCCAGTGGGGGGCAGGCAGGAGGTGGCCAATCGATGTTCTCTCTCATCAATGTTTCTATCTCTCCCTCTCCCTTCCTCTCTCTCTCAAATCAATAAAGAAAAAAATATTTTTAAAAAAACTTATAAAAATAAAAGGGTTAGTGTACACACAGCCACTCATCTCTGTTAATGCCAAGCTCCAAAGCAAGATGAAGACTAGGGAAAGTGGATTTGGCCTGGCTGGCTTTAACAACAAAAAAATTATTTCCCAAGCTGACAGATCTTGTTGTCTGGCAAGGCAGCCCCTCAGATTCGCCTCTAACAAATGTGGAACACTTACTTTCCCTTCCCTCTGACCTTGGTGACCTCCCCCTCCAGCCCATGTGGCCCTGGACGCTATTAACTCCTTAGTAACATGTGACCCAGTTGACACCAACTTGACTGACACAACCTGACTGGCCGAGAGAAGCAGCTTAATAAATCTAAGAAACTTCCTCAGGTGCCATTTGCTCCTCACTGGTAGGGAGTTGAATGGGCAGAACAGCTAGGAAGCGTCCCATCTCCATTGACAAGCTCCCTGCCCAGGGACTACACCTGGTCTAAGACAGCAGCCCCCAGAGAAGCAATCAAGTTTCCATTATTCTCAGTCACTCAAGATTACTCCTCCCTATTACCTAATTCGATTTCCACAAATCAAATCTTCCAGGCTAAAGCCATACTCCTAACCCACAGCTTCTCCATGAAACTTTGTCTCTCTTTGCCCCTTCTCTGAGAGAAGGCAGATTTAGGAGAGAACTGCAGGGTTGAAATCCAAACTAGCTAAAAATTAATCTACCAAACACATTCAGAAACAGTAGATGGGGTAAAAGTTCAAAGATGAATCCGAGAGTCCTGAAAGGAATTAGGAATCCCTGAGATGCAGAAAAGGGAGGCATGTCAATGGTCTCCCCATTTTACAAGATGAAAAACTGAGGACTAAGCTGGGGACGACTAGGAGGGTTCTACAGGCACGAGGCACAAGTGTCCTAACACCGCTTAGGATAGCAGTAATGCCCAGGCGCCAGCTGCCCTACCAGGTTCCAGGGTGCACAGGAGGGCTCCGCCCACCAACTTCAGCCCCACCCCCTAGCTCCTATTGGCCCCGCCCCGCCCCTCTATGCCTTCAGACATATAAAACTCCAGCTGACCTCCAATCACCGTGGGCCTGCAAGCGCCCACCCCAGCAGTGGGGCCTAGAACGGGTGGTGTCATCCTAGCCTGGACGGACCCTTCCTCCATGGCCCCAACTGCCACCTGCCACTTCCCCCGGGGCTATGATTACAGCGACACCCACCATCCTCCCCTGCCCAGCCTGCCACCCAAGCCTTCCCGGTTACCTCAGCTTCTCCCCACTTCTTGCTGCTTATATTTTTAATGTGATTTCTTCTGATGAACTTATAATTCCATTCAAAAACACACATTTGGTTCAAGACACATCATTCTATTTTCAACTAACAAGAAGCTTTGACTAATTTACTGCTCTATTCTAAATAATGTTCAACTGCATAAAAATATTTAACTCTTCAGATTATTTTAGCTATTACTCTGTGCAGTAGTCCCCCTTATCCTCAGGGGATACATTCCAAGACTCCCCGTGGATTGCCTGAAACTGTGGATAGTATGGAGCCCTATATATACTGTGTTTTTTCCTATACATGCGTATCTTTTAATTTAATGAAAGCACTTTATGGCTTCTCTTTGGCATAGCTGAACTGTCAGTACCACTATCCTTTCGCTTTGGGGCCATTAGTAAGTAAAATCAGGGTTACCTGAACACAAGCACTGTGATACCTGGACAGCAATCTGATAACTGAGGCAGCTACTCAGGGACTAACAAGCAGCCAGGGTATACAGCTTGGATAGGTTATACACTGTATACATTTTGCTGGACAAAGGCATGATTCATGTCCCGGGCAGGATGATTTCATCATGCTACTCAGAAGCGTGTGCAATTCAAAACTTACAAATTGTTTATTTCTGGTATTTCGGACCATGGTTAACCATGGGTAACTGAAACTGTGGAAAGTGAAACCACAGATGGAAGGAAGGGAACTATTGTATTTTAAGTGAAACTACTGTCTTAATAAGCAAGTCAAATAAAAATACCACCTTGGTTAGTTCGGCTGTTTGGACTAGCTTATTCTTACTCCCAGCATACATCATCTGTTGTTCAGGCTTACATCCTGGAAAAAAGAGATTTTGTGTAGAGATGAGACTTATTTTGAAAAAGTAATGGGTTTTCACTATTTACTTTTAAAAATAATGACACATTTAGGATTTCTATGCTTTCAAGTTTATAAAAACTTTAATCTAATGTGATTTAGAGAGGCCTACTGGCATACTGTACAGAGACATAGCTAAACTACAAATAAAAAGGCTTTAGGTCAGCAAATATAAACGAAGCTAGAGCTCTGTAGATCTTGACTTTTAGATCCTTGCAAACACTTAAAAACTTTTTAGCATTTTCTTAATTTTCACTTTAAATATCAAGTCCAATTTTTTTAAATCCTTACCTGAGGGCATTTTTCCATTTTTTTGTTCAGATAAAGTGAGAGGGAGAGAGAGGAAGAGAGAGAGAGAGAGAGAGAAAGAGAGAGAGAGAGAGAGAGAGAGAGAGAGAGAAACATCAACGTGAAAGGGACACGTCAAGTGCCTCCCGCACGACCCAACCAGGTCCGGGGACAAACTGCAACCGAGGTACGTGCCCTTAGTGGGAACCGAACCTGGGTCTCTCTGGACTACAGGCCGACACTCCAACCGCTGAGCCAAACCGGCCAGAGCTCAAGTTCAATTTTATGGATGCCTAACACAGATATGATTTTGGGACGGTGATGGGTCGGTAGGGTGGGGAGATCAGCCCTTAAGAAAAGTTACAGATTACATATTAAGTTAAAAATATACTGCAGTATAATTAAGTTCTAAATAAATGATACAAATAACAAAGTTTAGAGAAGAGTTCATGAAGTAGAGATTTTACTGTGGGCTTGAAACAGGTGGCACTTGGGGTTCTGGTGCTAGATACCTTAAATACCAGTAAGCCATTTTAATATCCAATGTAAGCTACTCTGGGACTATACTCAAAATTATAGACATATTATGTGTAAGTACTATTTTAAAGATAAACATAAATATATATCATGATTATACACAAAGTTCACATACTTAGAAAAATATTTAAAATATCAGAGAAATGTACTTTTGATATTTTAAAATGTCATTATATTACAAATTCCTTAAAATGTATGTACGTATGATCTGACCTAACAATTACACTTCTAGGAATTTATCATAAGAAAATAAGCAAGTTCTAACAAATGATGCTTTGTAGTAACTTATTTCTAGGGATGCATTCACGTGCACATGCATGCGCACACACAAGTCAACTTAGGTTTATTCAACAGTTTTCATCTTTAAAACAATCATATAGCCCTGGCCGGGTTGGCTCAGTGGTAGAGTGTCATCCTGTGGACCAATGAGTTGTGGGTTCAATTCTGGCCAAGGGCATGTACCTTGGTTGCAGCTCATCCACAGCCCTGGTCAGAGTTGTGCAGGAGGCGACCAGTCAATGTGTCCTCTCACATCGATGTTTCTCTCTCTCTTTTTTTCTCCCTCTCTCCCTCCCTCCCACTCTATCTGAAGATAAACAGAAAAATATCCTCAGATAAGGATTAAAAAAACTCATAAAATTTGTCCAGTATAAAAAATGTTTTATTAATTAGATTAGCGCAAATATGCACTATTTAAAGAAATTTACTTACCAACAGGACTTGAGAAAATAAAACAGAGAGGATATGAAACTCTTCCATCATCATGTTGATATTTATAACTATAGACAATGAAGGTTTTTCTCAAGTTAAAGAAACTAAAATTACTGCTCTATTTGAGACCAGTACTTACCAATAAAGTTTTGAAATACAAACCTGGGGAGCTGGTGAGTGGTAAATTTCTAACATACCCATTTAGGCCACACCTTCATTATTCATTATCTTTCCACAAATTTATAATAGTCCCCATGATAAGTTATAAAATCATATAACCTCTCAAAAATAAATGTATTAAAAGTATAGATTTATATGGATTTTAAAAATATTTCTCATTTTTATTATAAACAAGTAATAATAAATGTAATTTAAAAATACATCAACTTTTCATTTTTCTTGGTCTAATATGGGCATACATATTTTAATTTGACTGTGATCATGATGTAGAAGAAAATTTTGTTAAATATGTCTTCTATAAGTTGAAAAATAAACTTCATAAATAAAATTCTGACCACTAAAGGAAAAAAAATCTTTTTAAAAGCACTAAGAAAAGGATATCGAGGTTGTCGTTCAGGTAGTTCATCTTTAAGTTCATCTGGTGAAATGCCCTGGCATAATAAAGAAAAACAACTTTTAAATAATTTTAAACCTATATCCTTAAGAGATATACCAAACATTCTACTAATAGGTATAATAAATACATAATCATACACCACAACAAAAAATTTTTTTTTACTAAGCTGCACACAAGCTGAGGTTCCTGAACCCTCAATCTAATGAAAGCCTACCCCAGCCCACTCGGTTCAGTTGCTAAACATGGGTCTGAGAGGCACAGTAGTCTGTGTTCTAATTGTCAGAAAATAGGGAGATAAGCCAACCCCTCAGGACAAGCAACATGTCTGATTTGGGTGGGGGGGGTGGAAGTGGAGTTGATTTCTCTTTTTCTAAATTGATTTTAGAGACAGGAAGGTGGAGAGAGAGAAACAAACATCGATTTGTTGTTCCACTTATTTATGCATTCATTGGTTGTTTCTTGTATGTGCCCTGACCAGGAATCAGTCCCCTGGACCTTGGTGTATCTGGACAATGCTTGAACTACCCAGCCAGGGCCAAAGTTAATCTCTTTTCTTACTTAATTTAACAAACTAAATATATAGGGTTTTAGTTTTTATTTACTGGCCAAGCAATTTAGAGGCAAGTTATAAAGTTGACTCAGTAATTACTAGACATATAGCCCTAACTTCTATTATTTGTTACACTGATTCATTATTGTTTTAAATAAGTTCATTATTCATTATTGTTTTAAATTTGCGAGACAAAGCACTACAATATAATTAGCACATGTTTTTCATGAATAAGCATGTATTTAAAAGTATAGAACTCATTTCAGAAGTACATATATCTTTTGGGCAATAACTATTTAACTACAACACTGTATTTAGCTGATCAAACAAACCTCAAGCTCTTCATCCAGTACCACCAGGCGTTTATCCTTATCAATCTTCACTAAAATAAAAATATAGTATGAGTAAACTGTAATTCTAATGTGACCTTGATCTACCCAACCCCCAGTTTCAGCCACTTTTTAGGCATCTAAAACTAAAACATCAAGAAACACAAGCATAAGAAAAACTCATTCAAAGGACCTGGAGAGTATTATGCTAAGTGAAACAAGCCAAGCAGAGAAAGATAAATGTCACATGATCTCACTTATTTGTGAAATAAATGAACTAAACAAACTGTTGAACAAAATTAACCCAGAGACATCGAGGTGGGGTAGAGACTGACAAGCCTCAGAGGAGGGGGGGCTAAGGGGGGAAGTGATAAACCACAGAATTCACATGCATGTATGCATGACCAATGAACATACAGACAACAAAGCTGGGAATGGGGCAGGGGGGAAGGGGAGGAGGGTGTCAATGGGGGGAAAATGAGAAACATCTGTAACAAAAACAAATTCATAAAAAAAAATCATTCACAGTTTTAGTTCATGGTCAATTAGCTAGCTTAGCTTTTCAAGTAGTCAGTATTTAAAGCTTTTACCCATAATTCCCATCACTTACTTTGCTTATGTAGAACTTTATGTCAACTCCTTACATTTACTATGTTATGGAGAACTTTGTAACTCAAATGCAACTTCCCATACAATAAGGAAAGGTCTGAAAGGCTGACTGTGACTGAGCTTAGTCTATGTAACATGGTTAGCACCTAAGGAGGAAGTAAACCAGGAGTGAGGATAGAACAATCGTCAGATTCCCAGCTTCTCCAGAGTCAGGGTTTCATGGTGCAGTATGAGTACAGGATTGTGATATCTATATTCAGTTATATGAAACATAATCCAAAGTCAAATTTAAATGTGTTTAGGTAATTTATGCCTTTATTCTTTTCCATCACTCTGAAAAGTTGGCCAATTTTGGTTTTGCACTAATTTCATAGTAAATCCTGTGAAATACAATATGATCTCAAATAGCTTTTCCTTTCTGTATCAAAATGGCACTGAGACATATTTTCACTTTTAAGGTCTGTATTCCTATGTTGCAGTATTTATTTGTAATAGAACCAGAGCTCATGACAAGTTGTCACCACCTCATTAATTCACATCTGCCAGATGTGTTTGCTAAGCAGAGTCTATACACTTTTACATGTTCCCCTCCTCCTTCATCTTTCTAAATTAGTACCCACATATTAAATATTACCTAAGAAAATAAAAGAAATCTGCATAACGTCAGATACAGCACACAATGGGAGAGGCAACATTCAAATCATTCTTTCCATTGTCAGAGTCAGTGACGCTTAAATGTGCTCTCCATGAAACTGAAGTTTGAGTCTGGAACTGAAATAAGGGTGCAAAATCACCTTGAACACAATGCTGAACTTTATTTACCATTTTAGGTGTAGGCAAAGGTTTCTGTTTGAGAACAAATGGCCAGGCTATTTTTAGTCCCCTGAGAAGTTTAAAGGATAGAGATGGACAGGTCACTATAAATGACCAAATAACCAAGAAGATAATCTCCAATGCTATGTAGGTTAGTGGGGGGGGAAGTAGGATATTAGACCTCTGTTTTTTAATATTAGCTGTTACTTATTTTTTTAACTGATCTAAAGAGGGGGGATTAAAACAGGAGGAGGTAAATTACTTTCTAAGGGTTCAGTTTAGTCAGTGTAGCAATAAGATTAAAGCAAACTAACACCATGTAACTGAAGCAATCACTTTTAACTTACTTATAATGGCAGCATTGTTCGTTTCTTTGCGAAAACGAAACTTTCTCAGTTTTTCCACTAAATCTTCAGCAACATCACAAACCACCAAAGACTCACTCTAGAAAAGAAAAAAAAAAAAAAATCATGTATAAAAGGCCATGATTTCAATATATGTATATGTTAAAAGTTATTAAACCTATACATTAAAAGAGGTATAATGACATCTACAAATGTCACAATTATGTGAAAGCATTAACGTGAAACACATGAACATTTAAAGAGCTTTTGAATCTACCAACCTTTTATATCCACATTATACACATTTGTTCATCTTTTATGTAGGGTATACTTTAACTTTCTCTTCAGCTTATAAATATCTCACAAAACTAGACATATATTAATGTGCAATTCTGTAGAGAAAGGGAAGAATGTGAGGAAAGTGCAGAAAGAAAAGAATAATCATTTTATTGCACTTAGAATTAATAAGACCTTGATTCATTTTCAGGTTTCACAACTATGAAAAATATACAAGGAGCCCTGGCCATTTTGGCTCAGCAGTTAGAGCGTTGGCCCACAGACCAGAGAGACCCGGGTTTGGTTCCCGCTAAGGGCATGTACCTCGGTTGCAGTTTGTCCCCAACCCCGTTTGGGGTCGTGTGGGTGGCAGCCACTCAATGTGCCTGTCTCACATCAATGTTTCTCTCTCTCTCCCTCTCACTCTATCTGAAGATAAATACGAAAATGTCCTTGGATAATAAAAAAAATAAAAAATAAAAATAAATATACAAGTAAACAAAGGTATGAAAAATAAGTCCTAAGAGTAAAGATGAATAACATATATATCTTAATGACTACAGGGATTTAAAAGAAGGAGTTGCCCTGGCTGATCTGGCTCAGCGGTTGGAGCGTGGGCCTGCAGACCAGAGAGTCCCAGGTTCGGTTCCCGCTAGGAGCACATACCAAAAAAAAAACAACAAAAAAAACCAAACAAACAAAACCTTAAAAACAGGAGTTATTGTAAAACCAGCTGAAACAAATATAAAACTAAAAGAAACTTTTACAAATTATGAAAAAAATATTTGAGACTTTTCTCCAGAAATCTGGCAAGGAAATGATCAAAAGCACTCTTCTTTTAATGGTGCAAATGTATTAATGATTGCAAACATGAGGATGGAAATCTTTCTTTTTTTTTTTTTACTGTTTAAAACTGTGAACACATAAAAGTAGAGACTAGTATAGTGGAACCCTATGTACCTATCACTCAGCTTCAACCAGCATCAACACATAGCCAATCTTATTTCATCTGACACCCTCAGTACTGCCCATGGACTGTCACACAGCAAAGGCCAGAAATCATTTCAACTGTAAATATTTCAGGATGTATCATTAAAATAACAGCATGTGCCATTAAAATATAAGGGCAATACCATTATCTCGACTAAAAAAGACTAACAGTAAGTCCAGTCTTAAACATTCAGATAGAGTTTAAATTCCTCTGTTTTAAGGTTTTACTTTTCATGTTGATTTAACTGAGTCAGGTTCAAAAAAAAAAAAAAAAAAATCATGTATTTTGCTTTCTTTTCATATATAGCTCCCATCCCTTCTTCAAGAAAATCAAAATCTGAGACTAATGCTAAATACATATGTCTCATTACAATCCAAAAGGATTAGGGCTTCCAATTTTAAGCTAGAATAAAATTTTAAAAGCCTGTTTTTTTGAACCTGTGTTGAGTAAATGAAAGCATAGGTTAAAGCAAAAGATGGCTATCAATTTTTAATTGTCCACTGAATTCAGAACACTGGTAATATGTAAGGTGTGATATACTACAGGATATGATATTATACAGTTAGAAGGTACATCCCACCCATAGGTACTATCCAATCAGGCTTCTGTATGAGCCATGTCTGTCCATCCTTTTAGTTGTCTTTAGAGAAAGAGATACTAAGTCCTATGAAGCTTCCTGAAGGTAGTATTCAACCCTAGTCTATTTTTTTCTACTTTCCAAAAAAGATATAGAAGTCAGAAGATGACAATTTCCATTCTCTTCTCAACCAAAGGTAGAACCCACTAGTGAAACTAATAAATATTTTAGATTTTTGTCTAGGCAAGGATCAGTTTATCACGAAAGTCTTATCTTCCAGCTCTGATCCCCAGAGCTGCTTGAGCAATCCTGACATTCTAAGGATCAGAAACCAAGTAGGAGAAAAAATGCTACGATTTAATTTATATAATTTTTGTGTTTTTGTTTTTGCATTTGTACCCCTCCCAATACTACAAGGCCAAAAATTTCTTCTTACAAGCTAAAGAACCCAGGCTCAGCCAATTCTAATTGCTTATATTTAGTAGAAGCATTAAGAATGAAAATAACACCCTGCAAACAACTTTATATAGAAAATTAACACACAGAGTTAAATGGAGAATTCAGTTCCAGTGTGCATTTATTGGTTTATCTATACAATGAACATTTAATGAGTGTCAGCACCATGCTAAATTCTAGGGATACAACCATATAAAATATATAGTCATGAACTGCATAACCATATTTCATTTAACAACTTACTACATATACAATGATGATCCCATAAGAGTACAGTGGAGCGCTGAACAATGCCTATGGCCTAGTGACTTCTTAGTGGTTGCACAATGCATTAGTCACATGTTTGTGGTAATACCGGTATAAACAAACCTACTGTACTGATCGTCATACACAAGTATAGCACAGTTATATATAATACATAATACTTGATAATGATAATAAAAGACTATGTTGTTATTTTAGAGTATATTCTTTCTACTTACAAAAAAAAAGTTTGCTGTAAAACAGTATGCTGTTTTTATGCTGGCAGCAGCCTTAAACATCTTGTGTTTACAGCATCTCTTGATTACATCATTTTCTCTTGTATTTCATGTTGTTTTAGAAATTTGGTGCACCCTTAAGTGTACAGTAGTGTCCTAGGCCTTCACATTCACTCACTGACTCACGCCAAGCAACTTCAAGTGTTGCTTGCTTAATTCTGTAAATACCCTACACAGATATGCCACGTTACCATTTTATCTTCTTTTTTTAAAATAGGTTTTTATGTGTTTTTTTTTCTTTATTGATTTTTTTTAGAGAGAAGGGAGAGGGAGAGAGAAACATTGATGAGAGAGGACATCAATTGGTTGCCTCCTACATGCCCCCCACTGGGGATGTGGCCCATAACCTGGGCGTGTGCCCTGACCAGGAATCAAACCAGTGACTTCTTGGTGCAGGGGTCAACACTCAATCACTGAGCCACACCTGCTGGGCTTTTTTTCTTACTTTTATTAGCATTTATTTTATTCTGAACTTATTCCCAGGCCATAAGTTTTGTTTTCTTCAGTTTCTTCTGGGATATCTTTTTCTTCTGTGCAACCCCCTCTTCTGGTTTGGGAACAATCTGCTGTTGTTCAGTAAGGATCATCTCAACATGGCAGGGAGAGCTCATGTGTGGGTTAATTGCCCATAAGCTCTGTAAGTTCTGCACTGCATCTTGGGAGCTTTGTTCACCCAGATGTGCTCAATGACCAGAGAATCTATGTGCTCAATGACCAGAGAATCTACATCTAAACCCTTAAGCTCAGCATTACTCTCTGCATTTTTAAGCACAGCAAAATGTCAGCACTCTTTTGGGCCACTGACCTTGTGTCCAGCCCTACTGTTTGGCCTAAGCACCCCTACCAACTCCACCATTGTAGGGTGGCACACATTGCTTCTGCAAAGTGACAGCCTTCAGATACTTGGTAGCTTTGCAGATATGCATGTACTTGATGGCCTGAGAAGTTTCTAAAGTGTTCTTTTTTAATTTTTTTCCTCACCTGAGGATATTCCATTTATCTTCAGATAGAGTGTGTGTATGACAGGGAGAGAAAAATCAGTGTGGGAGGGAAACATCGATATGAGAATGACACATCGATTGGTTGCCTCCTGCACTACCCCGAGCAGGGCTGGGGACCAAACCACAACCGAGGTGCGTGCCCTTGACCAGAATCGAACCTACAACTCTTTGGTCTGCAGGCCGACACTCTAACTGCTGAGCCAAACCAGCCAAGGTTCACAAATGTTCTTAAAGAGAACACAAAAATTTGAACCTCTTGATTTGCATGATTTTATGGGGTTTTCTGTGTCAAGTGAATAGTGAACCATTTTCAGAGGTCACCTCAGACCGCTTATGGAAAGAGCCCATTTTATCTTTTATATCATGTTTTTACTGTACCTTTTCTATGTTTAGATACACAAATACTTACCACTGTGTTACAACTGTCTACAGCATTCAGCACACTAACATGCTGTACAAGTTTGTAGCCTAGGAGCAATAGGCTGGTTATACCTCATAGCCCAGGTGTGTAGCAGGCTATATACCATCTAGGTTTGTGTAAGTGCAGGCTATGATGTTCATGCAACAACAAAATCACCTAACAACACATTTCTCAGGATGTATCCCTGATATATATGCCTATAAATAAAAAATACAGACTTACCCTCAAGGTGCTTATAGTTTAGTCTACTAGAGTACAGACTTATATAAAAAAAAATCAAGCAAACAAGTATCTGTGATAGAGTTAGGAAGGAGAGACATAGGATGCTATGAGGTTTATGACTAATGAAGAACATCATCGTCGCAGGAGGCTTGCCTGAAAAAGGCATTGGAAGAACCACAACTACCTATGCAAAGACACCTTGATTAAAGTGAGCATGGCACATCAAAGACAATGAAAAGCCAGCGTGACTCAAGCACAGAAAATAAGCAGAAACATGGTTCAAAAGGAGGTTGGTAGGAACTGGACCGCATAGGGCCCAGTAGATGATATTTAGTATTTTGGTCTCTATTTTTGAGCAAAGGGAAGCCACAAAGGTGTTTTAAGCAAGGTGGTAACAGAAAACATGATCAGACCTGCATGCAGGAAACAGGCAGAGCCAGGATGAATAGAGCAAGACTCGTTAACTGACAAGACTAGGTCAGGTGAGATGAAAAGCAGCTTAGAAAGACTGATGAGGATAAAGAGAAGTAGGTGAATTCTGCTAATAATAGTTAACATGTGTTAAACACTATGAGAGCCCGGCCAGTGTGGCTCAGTTGGTTGGGCACCATCCCATGCACCAGGAGGCCAGGGCATATGCCCGGGGTTGCAGGCTCCATCCCCAGTAGGGGTCTGCAGGAGGCAACTCATTGATGCTTCTATTTTTCTCTCCCTTTCCCTCTAAAATCAATAAAAACATCTTTTACCTGGAGAGTATTATGCTAAGCGAAATAAGCCAATCAGAGAGAGACAAATACCACGTGATCTCACTTATTTGTGGAATATAATGAACAAAATAAGCTGATGAACAAAAAAGACCCAGAGATATAGAAAGGAGTACTGTTCAAACTGACAAACCTCAGAGGAGAGGGGTGGGGGAAGGGGCGAGATAAAACTAAAGACCTTATATGCATATATGCATAACCAATGGACATAGACAACAATGTTGGGGGCTGGGGTGGGGGGCCAGGATCGGGAGGAGGGTGTCTAGGGGGGAAAAAAGAAAAACATCTGTAACAAAAATAAATAAATAAATAAATATTGCTAAAAATATAAATAAAAACATTTAAAAAATAATAGGCAAAATAAACACTATAAGAGAAACAGTATGCTGTGTCTTTTACATAGGTCTGCCTTTATACTCAAAACAATCCCACGAGATAGGTATTATTATACCCATTTTGCAAGAAACTAAGGCTTAGAGAAGTTAAGTATCTTCCTCAAAATTACATAAATAGTGGAGCCAGGATTCACTCCAGGCAACCTGACTTCTAGCCCACTCATGTCCTAACCACTACAAAGGAGCTGGTGACAGACTGGATATTGGGAGGGGTGAGTTAGGAAACAGGTTACCAAGATGATTCCTAAGCTTCTCACTTGTGTTAACAGACTAAATAGTACTACCTTTCACTAATTTAAGGAACACTGAGGAAGGCCAGATTTGAGGGGAAAGAGCATGAATTCTATTTTGGACAAATGAAGGTGGCTTTGAGGAACTCCAGTGAGGAAAAGCTTTTCAGGGGACGTTAACTAAATAATGGGATACATAGATCTGGACTGGATCTCAGGAGCTAGGTCTGAGATACATTTCACAAGCCATATGCTTATAGGTGGTAACTGAAGCTGTGAATGTAGGTAAGAAAGGATGGAAAAGGAATACAGAATAGAAAATGAAGCATTGAGATAGAGCCTAGGACTCCTTCGTGTGATGTCCAGGGAATGAGAACAGTCTGCACAGGACACAAACGGACCAACAGAAGTAGGAAAAACAGGAATTCTGTATCCCAGAAGCCACAAGGGAAGAGAATGCTTCAAAGAGGAAAGAGTGGTCAACACCATAAATTGCAGCTGAGAGATCAGGAAAGATAAGAATTGAAGAGTCCCCTGGATTTTGTAACCATAAGGAGATCTTTTCGATGGAGGTGGGTTGAGAAATTAGTGGGAGGTCAGAGATAGGTCAATGGGATTTTGTGTTTTGTTTGTTTCTAATTAAAAAAAAAAAGAGCATATTTAAAAAAACCTGACAGGAAAGATTCAGAGGATCTTTTCTGGGCAACTAATTTAATTTTCCATTTAAAAACATTGTTTTAAGTTTTTTTGTCTTTTTTTTTTTTTTGAAAGGGAGGAAGAGAGACACATGATGTGAGAGATACATCGATGGTAGCCTCCCAGCGCACCTAACTCGCAACCTAGGTATGTGACCCCACCGGGAATCGAACCCGCAGCCTTCCGGTGCAGGGGAGGACGCTCCATCCAAATGAGCCACACTGGGAAGGGCAATCCTCCACTTATTTTTGAGCGTGGGGTCCAAAGCAAGCCAAAGTCCCTAGGCGCAGCAAAACGAAAGATCTTTGCATTCACTTTATTGCCAAGCGCCAAAGCCTTGGGTCAGAGGGTTCCCAGCTGCAGTCGTAACCGCAGAAGCAGACAAGGAGACTCCTTGGCGGCTGGGGGGGGGGGGGGGGGCGCGGAGAAGACAGCCGCGGCCGGGCCGAGAGAATGGAATCAGAACGCGAGCCAGCCCTCCCGGCAAAGGCCGCCAGGCGGACGGGCTCGCGCCCGGGGCCCTGGCACAGAACCGCGTCTGGGGGAGCCCTCCGCTGGGCCGGACCCCTGACCCCTCCGGCACCTCAGCTCGGGCGCGGGAACCCTCCATCCCGAAGGGCCCGGCGAGGATGGCCACCCCTACCGGCCGCACCTCGGTCCCAGGGCCCGCCGTGGGGAGGGGGAGGGTCGGCCCAGCCCAGCTGGAGGACGCTGCCCTTCCGCCGGGCGGCAGCAGCGGTGGCCGGCGGCGGCCAAGTCTCTGGCAGTGGACACCAGCCAGCAGCCGGGGCGGAGCGGCCGCCGACCCACCTGGGCGCTGCCCGCCGAGACCGGCTCGGGCAAACAGGAAAGCCCAACTGGCTGGCCCAGCCCTCTGTCCCCCACCCTTCCCGGCGGCAGCTCACCATTTTCCTTCCGGCAGTCAGCAGCCTCTCGCCTTCCCTCGGGCCCCTTTAAGAATGGCACCGCGGCCGCCTCCCTTCCTGCCCTGGCGCTTGGCAGAGCCACCCCCAGCGATCAACGCGGCCGTGGCGGTCGGCACGTGACCGCGGACGGTGGGGGGCGCGGCTCAAAATTAGCCGGACGCGGTTGTTTGTACGTTCCTGCCTGACTGCGACTGGACAACCGTGCCAAAATCACTCTTAAAATTCAAGATCAATATAATTCAATCCAATCCAATAGAATTTTATGTATCAGGGTTTCTCAACTTAAGCATATTGACATTTGGAGTCCAATAATTCTTCACTGTGGGTGGACTGTCCTGTGCATTGTAGGGTGTTTAGTTTGACAACCAAGAATGTGACCAGATATTGTTAAATGTTGCCAGGAGGCAGGGGTGGAAAATCACCCCCAGTTGACAACCACTGTTACAAATGAATGTCCTGAGTTCTGGGCCACAGAGTAAGTGCAATATTACTTCCCAGTGTCAGCTCAGTTGCAGCAGGCTTCAGGAAGCCTCCTGCCACTTACTGTATACAGATGACAGAAGCCCGACATCTAAGACCATGAGAATTTTTTACTAGAGGGACTTAGAAGTTCAATGGGTTCAAAAGGTTAGGTTCTGCTTAGGTACTATAAGATTTTTCACAATTTCTGTCGTTTATGGGATCATACTGAAATGACACATTCATTCCATTCTTTCGTGAAATGACTGCCTCAAAAAGTTTGAAACGCAAAGTTACGATGCTTATTATATTCCTACTGGCATCTCCAAAACAGAGATAAATGTTCCCTCCAGGAAATAATGTGGGATATAGAAAGGCCATATAAAATCAATAAAAGGGTCGGCAGCTGCAAAAATATATATATAATGGAGATAGTGATTTTTTAAAACATGTTAATACATTTTTCATTTCTCTTATGAAATCCTCTCCTTGGTTGGCCAGGAGCATCTATCAGCCTCAAAGGAGAAATATAACTGTGATGTTGGGAATGCAAAAAAAAAAAGGCAGCTTTTGACTACCAAAATAGGGCTTTGGAGTTCCAAGAAACACAGTAGTCTTGGAAATGCCAGACATTTCCAAGAGAGAAAGGTTTTATAAAATTTTAAAACCCAAACCTTGGCAAAATTAGAAGTGTCATTTAGTATATGCCATATGGTAGAGAAAATGGAGGCTATGACATAAGGAAAGTACCTGCTGAGTGGGAAGGAGGGAAAGTCCACTCTGGCCTGGTAGAGGGTGGGACAGAGCTTGAATAAAATGCAGCAGGCAGTGCAGCTGGTGGTCATACCCAACCTGTTCTGGCTGAAGTCTCAGAATGGGGGGCAGGGAGGGACAGTAGAAAAGCACTCAAATAGATGTGGTATTGGGGAACCTGCAGAGAATTGTTAGTGTACTCCTCTAAGGAAGGGGAGAGGCCTTGCATTTGGCTCTGCACCCCCTTGAACATGACTCAGGAACAGTAGTGTTCAATGGCAAAGGTGGCCTAGTTTGGTATCCGGAGGTAACTGCAGGTTCTCAGTGGCCTACAGGTGATGTGTGGGAGAATCTACATATTCATAGTATTCCCTCCTCAGGAAGTAAAGTCGGAGATGGTGAACAATCAGGTGAATCAGTGGAGCTAAGCGGTCATAGTGCATTAAGGCTTTACAACTAGAGGTAAATGGCTGGAACTCTGGGTCTCAGGAGTGGTTGCCAGCCAGGGCCACAAAAGGCCAGATGAAACCTGCTTTACTTTACTGAGGACACTCACAAGTATTGTGCAGAGCCGAGGCCTCATTTTCCCAACCCTACCATGAGATCATATGAATATTCAATATAGAAGGTTTCCCTAAAATACCATCTTAGGGAGTAGCAAGAGAAGAGGGAGGAAAGAGAGGAGAGACTAAGAATTTTCCTGCAAGAGACCAGTTATCCAAAGGGGCAGTTAAACTCGAGGAGAATAGGATACCTTTAATTAATAAATTTAAGCTCACTAGTCTCCCATTGTCCTCTCTCTCACTTTTCCTCCCTTCTACTACTCAGTGGGATAAGGATTCATGAGCAAAACTAAATCATTTATAGATAATAAAGAAGAGCCATTCTTTTTGTTCATCTGAGTTATACATTTTACAGTCTAATATAGATACTTTGGGCTGCTAAGTTATCTCATGGAGAACCAACCTTCCTTCCTTCCTTCCTTCCTTCCTTCCTTCCTTCCTTCCTTCCTTCCTTCCTTCCTTCCATCCATAAATATGTGTTGAGCTGCTACAAGACATATGTCAGGTACTGTAGGCACACACATCAATTAGGTGTCATTCCTGCACTCAGAGAGCTGGGGTCCCAACAGGCTATATAAACTAATGAGCAGATGCTTTCACCAGGATCAGAGGAGTTCCATATAGATCCACACTGGATGCTGCTATAGGAGAGGCCTCTCCTCAGAGCTTGGGAAGAATTCAGGAAGGCTTCCCAAAGAAGGGAGATTCAGAGTTGAGTCCTAAGGATAACTAGAAGTTTGGAAGGAGGAGGAGGAGGAAAGAAGGGTTTTCAGGCAAAGAGCATATGCACATACCTGTAGTGATTAATTTCATGTGTCAACACGACTTCTCCATGGGGTGTTCAGATTAAACATGATTTCAGAGTGTGTCTGTGAGAGTTTCTGGATGAGATTAGAATTGAATCAGTGCACTTGACAAAGTAGATTGCCCTCCCCAATATGGGTGAGCATTGTTCAATCCAGTGAGAGCCTAAATAAAACAAAGGTGGGGGCCTGGCGGGTTTGGCTCAGTGGTTAGAGCGTTGGCCTGTGGTCCAGAGAGACCCAGGTTCGGTTCCCGCTAAGGGCATGCACCTCGGTTGCAGTTTGTCCCCTGCCCTGGGTTGTGCGGGTGGCAGCCACTCGATGTGTCCCTTTCACATCGATGTTTCTCTCTCTCTCTCTCCCTCTCTCGCTCCCACTCTATCTGAACAAAAAATGGAAAAATGTCCTCAGGTGAGGATTAAAAATTAAAACAAACAAACAAACAAACAAAAAAACAAAGGCAAGGGAAGAAGGAATTTTTTCCCCCAATTTTTTTCTTCCTGCCTGCTTGCTTGAGCTGGAACATTGGTCTTCTCCTGCCTTTGGACTGGGATTTATACCACTGACTTCCCTGGTTCTCAGCCTTTAGTCTTGGATTAGAATTACACACCACTGTCCTGGATCTCCAGCTTGTAGATAGCAGTCTGTGGGACTTCTCAGCCTCCATAATCATGTGAGTTAATTCTCATAATAAATCAATCAATCTCTCTCCCAATATCTATCTATTTACTTACCTACCTTTCCCCATACCTCTTCTTCTGGAGAACCCTGACTAATACAATGGCCAATTCTGAGATCTAAAAATAGCTCTTTGCACGGATTTTAAGATGCATTTCTCCCCATATTTTAATTTCTCTGAAGTCAGGATGCACCTAACAATCCATGACACCTTACAATTTTGTTCTTGGTGATAAAGGTGAGACTTAAAGCACCCTAAAGTGAGTGAAGTTCACGTTTTGGGGTCCCTCGTTTGCATGGGGCCCTTCCAAGTCCTTATATTTAATCTGTATTTGTAATTTTGTGTTCAGTCTCTTAGAATGGGTCCCCCTAATGGTATGAGCTTCAGGCCTTGTATACCTGCATCCATCTCTAAGGTATCTAATGTATTTTTAGAAGATTGGTAACTCAGTAGGTTGATGATTAATATTTATAGGGGACGAGGGAAGGGGAATGGGGATGAGTGGTGAGAGATTTAGGATCTAATTTCAGTGAATGCTAGCTATATCCATTCATCTGGTGGAAGAAACCAGAAACTAACTCCTGCCCCTCTCTCATGCCCCAATCCAACCCATAATTAGGTCCTATATACTTCTCTTAGAGATTCTTAGTTCTCCTTCAAACTCCTTTTTCTTCTATAAGTAATAAAACCCTCCATTCTGAACAAAGACAATTTTCCAGCCCCCCTTTCAGTTAAGATGGACAAAAGGCTTAGTTTTGGCCAATGGAATGTGTGCTGTATCCTTAGAATTTCCTTAGATTGAAGTGGAGTCTCATTCTCTCCCTCTTTTGCTTCTCTCCTGCTAGCAGGAATATGGACATGATGGCCAGAGCTGCAGCAAGCATACTGGACCATGAGGTGACCTTAGGATATGAAACTACATAAAACAAAATAGAAGCCTGGGTCCCTTGCACTGTGGAGTACTATATCAGTCCTGCATTACCTACCTCTGGACTTTCACTTGCAAGAGAAAAAAAATAATTTCAAGTAAGATACTGTTACTATTTTTTTTTTGTCACTCAGTTAAAATAATTTCCTATTTATAATCCATTTCACTGCAAGTCCTCATCACTATCCTAATCAGAGTTACCAATATTTCTTACTTGGAATTTTAAAAGAACCTATTAATTGATATCCCCATATTTACTCATATCCATCCCAGCCTCCTACCAATGAGCTTTCTATACAATAGCCAAACTGATTGATTAAAAATGCAAACCAGCCCGGGCCGGTTTGGCTCAGCGGTTAGAGCGTTGGCCTGCGGTCTGGAGAGACCCGGATTCGGTTCCCGCTATGGGCACGTACCTCGGTTGCAGTTTGTCCCCGGCCCTGGTTGGGTCGTGTGGGTGGCGACCACTCGATGTGTCCCTTTCACATCGATGTTTCTCTCTCTCTCTCTCTCTCTCTCTCTCCCTCCCACTCTATCTGAACAAAATATCGAAAAATGTCCTCGGGTGAGGATAAAAAAAAAAAAAAAAAAAATGCAAACCAAATGTCATTCCCTCTACTAGTCTGCCTGAGCTGCTATAATAGAATATCACAGATTGGATGGCTAAAAGAAAATAATTTTCTTATAGTTTTGGAGGCTAGAAGTCCAAGATCAAGGTGCCAGCAGGCTTCCTCAATTTGCAGATAGCCACCTTCTCACTGTGTCCTTACATGGCCTTTTCTCTGTATGTACATGCATAGAGAACAATGTCTTTTTCTTTTTTATTTATTTTATTTTATTTTTATCCTCACCCGAGGACATTTTTCCATTTTTTGTACAGATAGAGTGGGAGGGA